TGGTGCAGCACAAAGTTTTACTTGGTTTAACTATTCCATAAGAACTACATCAACAAAAGTCTGTATATATTATATCACAACCAATTTAAAGGTTTATACTTGTATCGGTAGACTCAGAGTCAGCGCTATTAGAGGTACGCAATTATACTGGATTTTGCTACAGAATCAGATTGGTGCCCGTAAAAAATGATGCCAACAACCTAATCACCTTATAAAGAGAGAGAACAAAATAAGATTATAGAGGGCATTTACCTTTAAGATCTCTCCATGAACAACTAAGTAAAATAGATTGGACAGAGGGTAAAGCTTACCCAAAACCTCTCAGGCGTGTGGGACACAATATTTTCAACGTCTCCAAACGTTCCCGTCTAAAAGAAATTAGGAAGCAATGCCCTAAAAAACTGCCTTATTTTTACAAGCTTCAAACGATTTGTTCCACTACATTAGTTAAATTAGTGAAATATACTTGTACATATTTCTTGCATGAGTTAAAAGCTACCTCAACTGTACTCTATTAGAGACGCCCACTGCGTAAAGAGAAGGACATTTCCGCTGTCTTAAGTAAAACTCACGCAAAATATTTGCTTACGAAGGTTAAGGCGTTTTTCTATTTAAACTAATTTTAAAAATTCGAAAGAATTTGTATAGTTACTGCCAGTCTACTAGTTGTAAAAGTAGGCCCGCCCACACATAGTTCAATATGTCTCACACTTTTTATATGAAATGAAAATATACCAGCGGCAGTTAATAAAATGAACATCTATTACATATAGCTACATACATATATATGAATACACATTAAGCATGAACGATGACACCATTATTTCCATTAAGGCAGTAAAAAAATGCTGGCACAATATTAGACGGATTAGGATGCGAGTTGAAATGTCGCATCCCTTTATTTTTGACTGTCTTGCCTTTGCTAGATCAAGTATGAAACATCCCGGATCTGATATGTTCAGACATCTATGAAAACAAACCGCATAAATACCGTTTTAAAAATCTGGATTTTGTTCTTAAAGATCGAGCAAAAATTCTATTTAATATAAACACATTTTAAAGCAAAGTTCGAAATGAACTTCCTTAGATATTGCGTGGATTATTTAATAAATACAACTTTATACACTGCTTAGATAGAGCAGAATAGAGAGAGAATATCTTACCACTCAATGAGGTTAAATTTAAATTACTGCCAAGTCCTTCAAAGGATGCTTTAGATCTGAAACTACGGACTTTCAAGCCTTTAACAGGCTGTATTAAGTTCGTCACGAAGCATGTAACACCCAGAAAGAAACGTGGGAGACCCTATAAAATATTTATGGTATGTATCTATGATCAGCGTGACGAGCTGAGTCAATTTAGCCATTGCACACGTTCTCTAGCAAACTTTAGCTTTTGTAGCACTTCTATATTCAAATCGCATTTAATTTGTTTTGAAGAAAAAAATATTCTTTCTTAACACAATGAATTATATTTGTTTGACAGGCAATATTATTTTGGGCTTCCTGCAACGTATTTCAATCTGGAGAACTCATTAACTGCTTGTTCAATAATTTTTTTGCAAACTTGAAGTAACTTCACTACTTTTCTGTACGCAGTTCCCTGTTTGACTAAATTTTTAATATGCTCTCCAGTTTTTCCATTTAATTCTTTGTTAGTTTCTCGTATTTCTAACATTTCATATTGTCTTCTGGCGAAATTCATTGCTTGTATTAACTTAAAGTTTCATTTTATTTCAATAGACTTTTGCCAATTTATATATTTTCTACTGCCTTAAATTGTATATCATTCTGTTATTTTCATGTCGAATCTTTAAAAATACCAAGAAATGCATGTACATATGTAAGCGTGCACTGCAATGTTATTTTTGCAGTTTGCGCAGACACTAATACCTCTGCTTCCCCCTAACCTTGCTGTTGACCCTGTTGTATGTTTTATTGGCATTACAGTTGTTTTTGTATTTGTCGAGTGCGTGGGCTTTTCATTCATGAAAATTTCTACTAATCTGTATGTACTACTCTCTACTACGCACAACTGCATATATATAAACATGTCTGTATGAATCCAAATATGTCCGTACACAGTTATTTTGCTGTACACCGCTTTCCACTTACATATGTATATGCAGTTTATAGCTATTATATAAACTATCGCATCCAACCTCTCCACCAGGCATATGCTTGTGCGCAGAGAGCAACTGAAACAAAACGATAAGCTTCCATTGTATGTGTAAGTGGTAGTATTTGTGTGTCTGAGGTAATTTATAAAGGCAGCTTACTGGCATTGAGTTCTTACAACAAAGGCCACAGCCAACGCATGCGCATGTGGAAGTGAGCGTGTATGGGTACAATCGCCCATTTGTGGTATATCCTTGAAATAGCACCCACACTGCCTCGTTCACACACGAACACGAGTTGACTTTACTTTCGCCAATATCAGGGTCATGGATATAAATTTAAACTTTTCCAAGAGTCTCCACAAAAACAAATGCCTCTACAATAGTTTGTGGAACCCTTCCCCAACCTTGGGGTGTAAACGTGGGAAGGTGTGGTGCAGATGAAAAATGCAATGAATATTGTTGACGAAAACTAATTTTCGTATTATACGAAATTATTTGAAGCAACTGCTTGCAAAATTTTGAGAGGTATTTAAAAATATGCTACTAAAATGTACTCAGTTTTCTGACGGTGACATTTAATTCTTGAAATACTATTACACACTATTTCTGTTTTTACACGTTTTTGATTTAACATGGTATGAAAAAATTTTTTTTTATTCCATTTAGCACTATTAAATATTTTTTGAGTTTAAATTTTATTTGTCAGATTTAATTTTAACGAAATATGTTCATATCACAAATTTAGAGGAACTCCCTGTTTGTCGATACCAGCAACTTTACTGGTCAGATCAATTGTAAATAGAACAAAACAAAGACGGCAGTTCTTGACTTGAAGTAAACCGGGTCCATTTGGGTTATATACATATTTAGACCCGCTAGACAAGTTGACTTCAACTTACTAACTTCGAAATCTATGTACAAGTATATGTTTCTGCTAGCGCTGCTCTGTAGCGAGGTTATACATCGTCACCTCTACTCTACGGAGACAAGCTCCATGTCTACTTCTTTTATCACTGTGGTATATTCATTTATCATTAATTATGCTCTGAAGTTCGGTTAAGTGATCGGATCTGTCTATTAATCTTTTTGTAAAATATAAAAACCTTCTCATAGTAGTATAGAACCCGCTAAACATTTTTCCTGTACCATTCACTTTTGCCACGTGACCCCAGAAGAAGTTTTGTTTGGACCAAGACAACCCCTTAAGAGCTTTTTTTCCATTACCAAACTTCAACTGATGCTAAACTGTTCCTTTATCTTCTCTAATTTGGTTCTTCGATTTGTATGATATGACAATCGGTCAAATATTTTAGAATGCATGTTATTAATTACTAACTCCCTCCAAAATCTTGAAAAAAATTCTTAATAAATTAAAAAAAATGCAAACAAAATTTGCTTGTGCTCCTGTATATTCAGCTGTCTGGCAGCTCTACTCCCACTAATTCCCCCATTGCTGACTATGATGCCTCCGATGAGTGATTTCGTACTCTCGCATGCTCACATGGCTCTTTATGCTTACGTTACAACAGTGGAGACTTTTGGATTTGTTTCTGGGCCAATGCTTCGCAATCGCCAACTATGCCTGAGGTCCAGAGAGCCCGAGTAGAGTACATTGTTTTTGCCGACACTATTTCGTGCTGCCTCAACTACATATGCCGTAGCCACACAACATTTGCATACAGCCGTAGACACCATACACGATACTTTATATACATATATGTGTATATGTATGCATGTACATAGGCACGTGCGTGTATACAAAGAGTTTTGCGGAAAAATTTCAATGAATCAAACTGAATTTCTAGGCGTGGAAATATCAATGAACCTTTTATGTATTCAACGTACATTTAACAACTTCCAAAACATTCTACTTATTTCATGTGTATATGTTATATACATATGTATATATGTAATTGTGTATGTAGATATGTTATTGTGGGTGGTTGAGAGCCAAAGTAATTGTAACTATTTAAAAATAATAGTCATCTGTGGAACTACAATTTTCATGGATTTGTTTTATATAAAGATGCTGATATATGTATATACAGATGTGTGAATGTATAGGTGTAATTTACTTAATAGAATAAACAAAATAAACACTTGGAAAAGAAAGCATCTTTGTAATACATTTTTTTTTAATTTGATATAAATGCATGTAAATTATCAGAGTACAAGTTATGTACTTATGTATGTGTAAGTTCAGGACCTTGATATTCCAAGTGAAGTTTAGGACTTATTGCTCATATTTTTCGTTTTGAGAGCGATTTGCTTCAATTTACATACATATGCATATAATTCACATTGATTATACTAATCAATATCATTTAATTTTTATACATGTTACATCTGCTTCCATAAAATAATAAAATTAGATATGTATATTTGTATTGTAAGCAATTCCCTTTAACAGCATCTCTTCCTTTAATTTAATTTACCTAAGGTACATACCCACAAATTTGTTTACCTAAAAACATGTTTACAGTAAACTCATCTCACTCCTCCCGCTCAAAGTTAACTTATACTAGTATATTGGGAAACATAACGTATTCACTCACACGCCAACAATATATAATTGCTGTAGGTTGCAAATTTTCAAAACAGAGTTGATAGTTAGATCTTTATTTTAAGACTTTTCAGGCAAAATTCCGATTTTTTTTTATCTTAACATGCCAACATATTTGTAGGTGTTTGCCGATTTATTTATCATAAGTATATACAATCAGAGCCCAAAAGAGTACTTTGATATTATATATAATATAATATTGCTTCAGTCAGCTTCTAAAAATTTTTATTTTTTCTGAATTATTAAAAAATAATAAAATAAAACCACAAATATATATTATAAATAAAATTACAGTTATATATTGCTTTATGGTTCTAACTTTGTATTAGCACATCACTAGCGTAGATTTAACTTCTACAATGTGTTTTCTCACACATTTAACGCATGCTCTCATGTCACACTCTCTGACGCTCCCACCAGCAACTCAGAACCCAAGTGGTAAATGGAAAAAGGGCAATTTCTCCCGCCACACGTCACTTGTGTATTCCAATACATACGAACGTACGCAACGAGATTTATGGAAGAAGAAGCAGAAAAGTGGGAGAGTTTATTAATTATTTTTGTTTTTGTTGCTTATTATTCCACTGCGTGAATCCACTTGGCGTTTCGAATGCTGTTGGCTTTGTCGTTGCTCACATTCGGAACATTTCAGCCATCGTTGCTGGTCGTGTTTTTTTTGCTTAGCAAAGCCAATGGTGTCCGTGTGTCGCGCTCCGTAGTTGCTTTTCAACTTTTGTGTTTCTCTTCAATATAATTCGTTGAAGTTATAATAACATATTTAGATTATATAGAAATTGAAATAAGTGTATAAAATTAACGGCAAATCTGTATAACAACATAAATTATGCAGGTGGAATGAACGTCAAGCGAGTTACAAGTGTATGACAATCAAACATTTCTTGGATGCAAATGAAAAAAAAGTATCATAATAAAAAGGCAAATCTCCAAAGCAAAGGTAAAGAGGAGTGTAATAAATGCCAAGATGAACGACAAGGGGAAAAATGAGAAAATGTACGCTTTTTTAGTCACTTTGCAATAAACAAATATCAAATATTCTTACAAAAAGCCGAAACGCGTAAACGCTTGAAAGAGTAATTCAAGTAAACTTAAATTTTGTAGTGAAAAGGTAAAACATAATTCTTAATTATAATTAAATGCAAAGGCTATTTGTATTACAAACACTGCATATTGTGCACAGTTTGAGAGGCACTGGTAGCGCAGCGTTCAACAGTGTTCAGTGGTGCGCTGATCGTTATTGCATTAACCAAGCCATTACATGAGTTGCAAAAGTAATTGTATGCGTTCTCAATAAGTTGACAATAGGCAGTGCGTCCAGAAGCAACAACTATTTTTACCCCAGTACTTGTGAATGATTTGTTTTCGAAGTTTTCGTAGCCAAATTGCAAAGTGTGCATTCATTTTTGTTTAGAAATTAGAAAATGACAAATCGCTGATGAATTTCGGTGAGATAGCGAGGCTACCAAAATAAACCGCAACTTATGGGTGTATGAACAATTACAACAATAACATAAACGTGCAGCAAGCGTGCAAGCGTACATCGACAGGCGAAATTCTTGGCATTCGGTGCAGCGCAGTGAGCAAAACGAAGAGCGAGCGATCACGCGATGCGTCATTATTTTAGCGGTGCGCGGCTTTGAGTAACGTAACAGAATTAGCGCGGCGTGCAGACGGAACGCGTGTGTGCAAATTTAACATTGAATATTGCAAGATAAATTTAATAAAATCGAAGCATCGAAAAAAAAATGTAAAAATAATATCTATGCAAAGAGCTCAGTGAAAAGTGACCAATCTCGTATTTAAAATAGGCACAAATAATTTCCATTATACAAATAAAGTGAAAAAAACAATTAGCCACCATGCCGGAAACACATTATGATTGCATTACAAAGGACTGCCTGCAGGCTGAATTGCGCGCCATATCCGCTTCCTCACACCACAGCCACACCCACCATCCGCACATTACATCCTTGCTGGGGCAAAAGCTAATCCTTTTGGACTGTCGCAGCTCGCACGAATTCAGCGAATCGCATATCCGTTCGGCGGTGAATTTCTTCATACCCAGCATTATGCTGCGGCGTCTGGCGAATGGCAAAATCGATTTGCTATCAACAATTAAATCGACAGATCTGAAAGAGCGCATACAGAATGGTTATAAAGTTAGTCTATTCATTTTGTACAATGATGCTGGCATACAGGAGCAGCACCCGGCCGCAACGTCGTCCGGTGGTGGAGTTGGTGAAGTGGTCGCAGCGGATGCTCTGAATATTTTGTATCGCCGTTTGAAGCAAGACGGTTGTCGAGTGGTGGTGTTGCAAGGTAAGCAAGCAATTCGTAGACTTTTAAGTGGTCCGCAATGTATTTGGTTCGCTCTTCCGGCGCAGCAGTTTAATTAGGTGTTTCCGAACAAGAAAATGAGAATTTCAGCTGCAAGTCTTGCATTAGTTGCTGCTGAGTTCTCTTGAACTTAAGAAATCTATATAACGATAGAAGGATATTTCAGTGGTTTTAGGTACATAAGTTGATTCGAGCTTGACTAATCTACCTACCTCGTTTCGTTATGAAATGTTGCATGAGTAATCAGTAACTAATAGTTTGATACTCAATGGAATAATATTTTTGTACTTTTTAAAGTATGATTTGTCTCATTAAACAACATTTTGTCTTGAAAAATCATTTTCTTAGATATAAATCACCATTAAATTAAATCAGTATTTCGGAATTGGCATGCTATTGAATTTAATGTACTAAGTTTCTCAGCATATTTAATAGAGTTATTGCCTTAATATCGTTATTCTTATAAAAATGTATAATTTCTGCTATCACAACAATTTTCATATTAGAAACTTATTCATACATACTTTTTCTTTTACCTATCACCATCTTGAAAATTAATTTTTTAGAACCGAACCTATGGTTGCGTTGTTGCTATCTACATTTCTGTTTAGAGGATCAGTAGGCTAATTGTCATCGAAGTTAACTAATCTTAGAAAAAGGAGCGTTAGATTAGTAAGGAGTGGAAATGCAAAGAGGTGTTTAGTATCAAATTAGTATATTTCTACGACGGTCGTTTCTACATTTCCGGAATCGTCCCAGATATAAATCGTGCAAGGTTTGTTGTTTGGTGATCTAACCTTGCCTCAGTGAATTCTAAGCTAGAACAGAACCCATTACTCATCACTTGCATCCTCACAAAGCCCACTCCAGTACAACGGCCTCATAAAGAATGCCTTAATAATGCTGTTAATATTAAGTGGCAATAATGCAAAATCTCAAATAAGTGATAAAGTAACTCTCTACTAATCACTGATTTATTCAACTTGACCACTTAAGATGAATGACCTAATTTGCATTTGAGACACCTTAAAACATTATTACAAGCATGAATCTCGTATAGAAAAAGCTTTTCACGCGGTAACAATTAAATACTTGGGCATGCACCACTGAGAAATGGTCTCGTGGAACTTGTCAAATATCAAACAAAAAATAATAATAAAAAACAACAACAACATATGTTAGCAGCTTTGATGAAATGTAAGAAGAATTTACTAATATTGTTTGCCACTGCTGTGTTTACATCTACGGAATACCTGAAAAGGTTATTGACACACGGCTGCACACCTTATCGCCGTCATTTCGTCCCGCTCAACACGTTGTCTCAGTCAATGCGTAGCGTTGGACAGACGATGCAGTGCAGCACCCAAAAAAAAAAAAATACACAAAAGTTTTAGCGTGCGTGTGTGTATAAGTAATCAGTGGAAAACAGAGGGAAGGGTTTGGCCGAAAACCAATATTCAATCACGAGCACGGAAACAACAAAGAAAAGAAAAAACAAGTAAGGAAGAACTAAGTTCGGGTGGAACGGAATATTTTATACTCCCGCAAGGTAAAGTGATACATCGGATTTTCGTATATTTTTAAATAAAAGTAGGAAGTATTGCATCCATTATTTACAATCACATGCAAGAACTGTTATTAGAAAGAGATTCTTTTGGAATTTCAATAATATTTCTTGCATATTGACCGATATCAGGGAAGTATTTACCCGCTTTTACCCAATTTACCACAAGGCATGCTGTTGTCACAAAAATATTATCCCCGAATTTCAATACTAAAACTCACAGACTGACCGATATGATCGGCAAAGAATCAGCCATATGTACTGGTGTTCACATATTTGGTGTCTGCGTCCTTGAGAGGTTATATTCCAATTTCGACAGTTTTTGGGCGTAAGATTAAGTACCTTGAGGACACCATTTGTGCAAAATTTTCCTCTAATAACTTCATTGATGTTTGATCTGTATACTGTAAAGCGAAAAAGTCATAATTAATTTAAAAATTTGCTATATGTAAAGTAGACGGAGTTGTCAACCGATTTCGCTATTTATATAGTGTACAATATTAACCGTTGGATAACCTCACAATCAAAATTTGGTGGAAATTGGTAAAGTAGTTCCTGAGATATAGGAATTACCCTAAAAGTGGGCGGGGCCACGCTCATTGTCCATCTTTTAAACCAGCTCATATAAAGCCCTGCCCTGCTATCCTGGTTGTGAAATTTAATGCTTGTACCTTTTTTTATTCAGTGAGTTGTAGCACTTTTAATAATTTTAGATATAACTTCAGTAGTTTGGAAGTTATGTACATTTAACCATTTAGAGGGCGGCGTCACGCCACACTTATTGTGGGCGTGGTAATGGTCCAATTATGCCCACGAAGTGCGAAGTAACACATGTACCAAGCTTCATCAAGATATTTCAATTTTTATTCAAGTTATCGCTTGCCCGGACAGACGGACGGACGGACAGACAGACAATCACCCGTATTCCCTATATCTAACTCGATTAGTTTTAGGTGATACAAAAACCGTTAGGTGAACAAAACTTTTATACTCTGTGCAATATGTTGCGAGAGTTTAATAAAACAGCGATAGATACATATTAACACCAATACGTTGTGTTTTTATAGGCCAAAGTGTAGCAGGTTGGGCAAAGGTTTGTTGAAGATAGTACGATCAAGTCAAATATTAACGGTTGATAATGCAGTGGGTATCTATTTTCTATCCAAGTTTTATCTATGGTATTATAGATAGGTACATATATATATTATATATGTATGTATATATAATATATTTAGCCATATAGCTGTATATATATATATATATATTTTATATTTAATATATATACATATATATATATATATATATATATATTTAATATATATACATACAACTTTTATATCGAATGGAAATATAAATAAAAGCTTTGCCTAATTAGAACTATTTTTGGAAACGAAACAAAGCATCAGTGATTAGTCAGAATTTCGATTGATCAGTATAAACAAAAAAAAAATCCATATACAAAACACTACTCACAAATAAAACCTGTCTTATTATGCAAAGCACCTCTAGCATAAAATAAATGTAACAAAATGCTCTTTTCCAACTCGTTTAGTAACTCCCGTAAGACATTTTTTCCTATTATTTACCTTTGGCTTTAACTTTATTTTTTGCTCATCTTCCGAAAAATAATTTGAAAAGTAGAGCTGATATTTTGAAAAATTTGTTTGATTTTTTTGGAGACACTTAAGGTTAGGTGTAGTCAGAGACATTAAAAAATTACAATTTAAAATAATTTTTAAGATTATTTTGTTTCTGGTCTTATTCTACAGCTGCTTTGAAATTGTAATGCTAATTTCTAAAGCTTTTCCATATTAATAAATAATTGTATGAACAATAAGCAAAGAGAAAATAAATTTAAATATTCATTATATTGAATTTTAGTAAAATCTACCCGAAAGTTTGAAAATAATATGAATTATTGTACTAATAATTACTAACTTCTTTCAGTATACAAGATGATATTGTAAAACTGAAGGATTGCGATTGTTAAATATAACATTTCGTCATTCATATGTATAACCGCTATGTAATGAAAATTTCTGATGCAGTACATTTTATTCGTTTACTTCAGGTCTTAACTGTTTTTAATGTACCTATAAATTTAATTATAAGACGAATACGTACTTGACTATATTGAAGTTATGAGTATATAAATACATATATGTATATATATGATATTACAACTACAATGCAGCTATCTGTTATATCATTGGCGTACAATTACTATATGTACAATACATATGTGTATACATAATTGTTAATATAAATTTTAATTTATTTACTATTTCGATACTTGTACGCTATATTATTAAATTATCTTTGTTTGTCAATTTTACTGTTATTGTTGCTTATTTACTTTGCTTAATTACAGTTCATTAGTCTTGTATAATAAAGATACTTTTTATTTAATTTTTCTTTCTTCAACTATGGGTGTCTTTATATACAATTACTACTGAATGAATCGTGATACTTGTTAAATTGTTATCTACCACTCACCGCCCCTTTTTCGTCTCACTTTCAGTTCATTTCAGGTCTATCAATCAAACTGTTCCTACACGTAGCTGTGAGTAAATTAAATGTATGTATGAGTATATAGGTATTTTGTTTTTGTTCATTTCCGTCTTATCAGCCATATACCGACATTGGACTTAATTCATATGGCATCATTCATAGATATATCTTTATATAGACACGTACGTTTACACAAATATTTATTAACAGATGTGTGTGAAAAATTTTGCTGCATAAATCCAGAATGAAATTCTATTATTGATTTAAAGAGTCAATAGAATTACTTCACGGGAACTCAATTCGCACCCTCTCGGCTTGCTAAAACCCTCAATGGTCTCGTTAAAAAATTCTGAAGCAACTTTTAAATTCTTCTATAGAATTTCGTTAATCAGATACCTTACTTAAACACAGAATATTTATTAAATTGCTATAAATTTTTTCCACACTATCTCTATTTCAATATACCAGTCTATGATATTTATGCGAGTTGTGTGTTCAATTCGCCACTTTTCAAATTCTTCGAATCGCAGTCAACTGTTATAACCATATAGCCCTACCGACGTTCATTTATAAAAATAATTACAGATACATACAGTATTCTTCGCCTGCTCGCTCATAAAAATAAATAAAATAATATAGGACTTAAATTCAGTATTGCGGTTTGAAAAAATAAATGTGAGAAAATTTTAACACAACCTTCTAAAGCACTAACAATAAATGAAGTGGACGACATGTTTAAGAAGCTTATAGCTCAAACAGTCACCGACATTCCTCCCTTCCGTTCGACAGCTAATACGACGTCTCTTATGACGCAATGTAAATGAACACTTCTTCAACACACCGCTTCAACAGACCGTATGGTAGGATATCCGCAAAAATTGGATTTTCCCGTAACAACGAGTGAGCT